TTTAACACATCCTATGCCTTTTCTTTTGTGATTTTTTAAACATAATAAAATTCTAATTGTGAAAAATAAATATAACACCTTTATTCTGAAATATAAAAGAATTATACATGGATATCTACTACAACTATTATTTGCAGTAAATGTTCCTAACGGACAACACTGTACTGTACAGAAGTGATTGTTGAGATATGAAGAAAATTTTTATAACCTTTCATTTTGTTTTCTTTATGATTCTCTTCACACACCTCCCTCCATTAAAAAATATACCTGAACACATAATGACAAATATCTCCATATCCACAAATATAAACAATAACTAAAGTAATTTTTATTCATAAACATCATTTTAGTGTTATAAAACACCTTTAAATAACACTCGGCTTCCTTTTAGAATTTTTTTTAATCACGACATCGCGAAAATATGTGACAAATGAATATTTGTCTGTTTTCCGCTGAAACATTCACAATTCTAGCTGTTGCTGATTGCAATTATACAAAATTAAATATTTTTGTTCAATAAAAGAACATTTATTATCGGCTATTTCATCAGGAATCGTAAAACAAAATTTTTTAATTTGTTCTTTACGGCAAAATTTACCTTGGTTGATGTGACATTTAGAAGACAAATTTTACCGGTAGATTTATTTTTGACATGTCCATTTTTATGTTAGTCTGTGTCTAAAATGTTTTATTAAAATCAATTAAAAGTGTTTTGTGTAAATTCTCAACTTACAGATAGATAAAGGTTAGCCATCATACCGTATTTCTGTACGGTAAATTTGCGGTCTCCGATCGGCAATTCTTTTAGGCTAAATAATTCAAAGTGTTGTACTACTTTTTGGAGTTTTTTACACCGATTTCATTAATAAACAATTTGAAATTAAATTCTTGATGGGAATCGTGAATTTTTCATCATATTTTTGTGTAATTTTAGCATTCCTTAGATTGTGTTTAGACAATTTCCGGCTCAACTTGCCGTGCGAGATTTTCTCTCATTTCACAAATTTCTCTGAGATTTTGGTGATATTTTTGCGAGAAATCGCGGAAATCGCCCCCTAGAATGATCCCTGCAAGGAAAAGGTTGTCTCACCTGCAGATATTCAAAGAAATTAGCGTTTTGCCAAAATATCGTTATTTTAGATAATTTTCTACATTAGTATAATTATTTGTTTAAATTATTTTATGACTCCTGTCAATAATCAGTGTTTTATGACATAGCCAGAGGTTAGAAAGAGAAAACTCACGGAGAAGGCCATCCTTAAAAAAATGTTTGTTTGCAGTAACGCGACCAACTCACAAAATTTGCCCATACTCAAAATTTTTTTTTATGGTCTGGATAAAAAAAAAAATTTTTTGAATCAGAAAATTATGCCTTGTGCTTTGTTTTCGTTCTTTTAAAGGTTAATAGAAGAAATAAAATGTAGGTCTTATTAAATTAGAATTCAGTTATCAATTTATTAATTGTTACCAGATTATCAAAGCATATATTGTCCAGCATTTTGAAATTCCATGTTTATTTGGGAGTACAGTTCAATAAAAACAAGAGCCATGTCAACATGGCCATCCCCCGCCGAATGTGTTTGCTCATTGGAAGAATGTATATGTAGTAGAGCAGAATAATTCCATTTTAAGAGGTCTTTTGGTAATGAAAACTGATGGCTATAGTGATTACAGATTTGAAACCTATGTGAATACTGATGGCTGAAAATAACAAAGGGCAATAACTGAAAAATAATGCAGGGTAGGTTATCATTCTTGTGTGCTGCATCCCTCCTCAGTAAAATCTATCCACCTATGAAGTTTCAAGTTGATACCTCAAATACTTTTTGAGAAAAAAAATGAATTGAAAAATTAAGTATGAAAAATAACAAAGTGCAATAACTCAAAAATTATAAAAGGTAGAGTTATCATTCTTGTGCACTGCACTCTTCTCAATGAGATCCATCCACCTTTGAAGTTTCAAGTTGATACCTCAAATACTTTTTGAGATAAGCTCTGGACAAAATAGCATGAAAAAAACAAAGGGCAATAACTCAAAAATTGTATAGGGAAGAGTTATCATTCTTGCGCACAACATTCCTCCTCAATAAGATCTATCCACCTATGACATTTCATGTTGATATCTCAAACACTTTTTGAGTTATGCTCCACTCAGGTGAAAAATTAGGTATGAAAAATAACAAAGGGCAATAACTCAAAAATTATGAAAGGTAGAGTTATCATTCTTGTGCACTGCACACCTCCTGAGTGAGATCTATGCACCTATGAAGTTTCATGTTAATATCTCATAGGCTTTTGGAGTTATGCTCTTGACAAAAATCAATTTTGAAAAATAACAAAGGGCAATAACTCAAAAATCATACAAGGTAGAGTTATCATTCTTGTGCACTGCACTCCTCCTCAATGAGGTCTATCCACCTATGAAGTTTCAAGTTGATAACTCAAATACTTTTAGAGATATGCTCCGGACAAAAATGTCGGACGGAAGGGCGGATGGACGGAAGGTCGGACGGACGGACGGACGGAGACTATTTCTATATCCTCCGCCGAAAATTTTCGGCGGGGGATAAAAAAAAAATTGACCTACCTACCCACCTTGAAAATTCTAGGTTGGGTTACTGCAAACAAACATTTTTTTAAGGATGGCCGAAGGGAAACAAACTCTTTGAGGGAAAGAACTCAGCCTTCATTAGAGACTTGAGGAAGCTTGGGCTTTGAGGGAAACAGTTCTTAAAGATGTAAATTACAATGATAAAGAAGCTCTCAAATCAAGAAACCATGAAATCTGTATGAAGTATGGAGAAGTAAGGATAATTGTGAGAAATTATAGATCTTTCTTAAGGAGCAATTCATTTTAAATGAATACTTTGGCAAAATTTCAGCTGTCTTAACTAGAAAGAAACAAGTGAACAATTTTCAAGCTTTTCTTGGTGATGTACAATGGCATCAAAAGAACTGTGAGGTACAGGTTGAAGCCAAAAATGAGATTCCCGAGGACCAGACTATTGTTGATCCTGAAATCCCTGTTCAGGAAGGTAAATGTTGTTACAAAATAAATATAAATGTTGTTACAAAATAAATATCATTTTGGCATAGACGCTGTACATGCTAATAGATGACATGGATAAAATTTGCAATAGAATTATAATCTTAGCATGAACCAGACATATTTTAAATATTTCTTTGTATTTGAATATGTCTGAATTAAAAGTTGAATCTGTGTTGTAAAAGAAATGTTTAAATAACTTTTTAGGGGTTAACCAGAAAATAACAGTAGGTCGGAGAAATAAGAAAGGCAGGAAGAAAATTAGGCCACCCTTGAATATATCTGTTTGCTATTGCTGACCCAGGGTTACAAGGAGTGGGAAGGAAGCCCTTTTTTGTGATAGAACATAAGTTTATACACTTATTTGTAGCAGATTGTGGAAATTTGGACTTCATTATCATCATCAGAGACTACGAAACTGACATGTATTAGACAGTCAAAAACAAAGACATGTTCACTAGTAATCATAGTATTGTATCAGACTCAAAAATCACTTGATAATCAAACCACCACAATCAAATGGCTGTCCAAAGTATAATCGATTTTGCATTTATAATGCCCATTATTTTTTCTTCAAATTCCAATCTTTGTAAACAGTAGTAGTTTTAACGGGGGTGGAAGCATTGGACATCAAAGGTTTATAAGATGGTTGGACCCAATGATGGTGGTGGTAAACAAATGATAGACATGCCAAAAGATTGTGACTTTGAAGAGTTACAGAAAAGGATATTAGATGTGTCCTTTCCTGGTGGATGATTAGAAGCAAAGGGATTGGATTTGGAAAATTTGAATTTCTTTATTGCCAGTTTTTATGGACATGAACTTCCAAAAAACTTGAAGAATATGGTGGATTCACAGTTGGGAACAATTTTCAATTTACTAAGTGCTGACCAGTCAGACTTAATCTCCATATACTACAGCCTCATTATTGCGCTCATGGTGGGGTCCAAAGTCTCAACACCGCGTTCTAAGGAGGCTCTCATTAGAACGCTCATTGCGAAATTACCGAATTACCCCACCCACCGCATATATATAACGCTTTTGAGCTTTCGATTTTTACTTACTGTTCAATGAATATCGACATTTTCTTTTTCTTCAACAATTTAATAATGTAAACATATATTATATTAACAAATAATACTAATTATATTTAAAAGAAACAGAAAACTTTCGATAGAAAAACATAAATCATGAATGTAGTGTAAACAGCCATTACTGTAATGGCGTTTGATTAATAAGGGGGCACAACTAATGCTGGACTGTAAATTACACTGCAGGATTTTAAATTGATTTCGGGCTTGTGTGGGTTAATTAATTCAGCGAGGTTTACATGTCAAAGATATGTGTGTTAATTTTTGTTTATTTATACCGGTACTCCCCACCGGTTGCCCATGTCACAGTTATGATATGAATTTTAGATTTTGGAAACAATTTGATGCCTGAATGATGGACAGGTAAAACAACAAAAGAGCCGATAAACGCTTACCTGGGCATGTTTTTCACACCTTTGGCGCTCATAAATGTCCTAACTACTATTGTTTATTGTACTTGACTGTCAAATTGAACAAGCGTTATAAATCTAAATCTACTTTTTTTTTTTTTTTTTTTTGGGGGGGGGGGGGGTGAATTAAATTTTTATCTTTCTTTCTTTTTTTGGGAGGGAGCCAAGGTCTATGAGTGCTATACTGAGATTAGCGTTATAATGAAGAGCGATTTATCGAGGCTACAGTGTACTTCATACAAAGAAGTTAGTAACGTAACATTACTCTTATCACAGCCCCTTGTGGTTGAGAGGCTCCCTTTAATGACAAAGGGAAATTATACTACCATGGATAATGGTCCACAACAGAAGACAGAGGGCGAGATTATAACCTTGCGGTAAGTTTAAATCTAAAAAAAATCATATTGGAGATTATTTGAATTCTTGTTCAGCATTGTAACAAACACCTTTTTACCCTTTCGCTGCCGATGTCGCACATGTGCGACAGCCACTCAGACCGCCGAAGTTGCACTTGTGTGACAGACACTGGTAATTTAGTTACCCATACCTTTAAATATTCTCATGATGTGTAATTTGCACGGAACCGGTATATATTTTGAAAACGAGGCTTCACTTCCTTGTTCGCCAAAAAATAATGTTTTTATCGTAAAAAATAAGTGATCTACGCCGAGTTAAAGTTGATGAAATATTTTTGACAATTTGTTTGAAAACAAGATGGCTTCCAGCAAACGGAAGAGGTTGTATACTCAGCAACAAGTGCTAGATTTAGTAATAAATGACAGCGGTAGTGAAAACAATGAAATTGCATACGATTCGGATATGTTAAATGATGACTCGGACAGCGATTATAGTGAAAGTACTGTGTCACTTAGATCACAGACACCTCAATCAGTGGTTCAAACTGAAGAATCTGGTAAGTATTTTAGGTTTTTTTTATAAATTGACTCAATATTGGGCATTAATTTCTACATAATGTGAATATTTTATGCAGCATAATAATGTCTAATTTAGATGGACTGGCATTTGTGTTTCTATTTTAGTAACAGAAGGATATAATTTGTTCAAGTACTAATTCGGTCGAAATGTGCTTATCCGAACATGTGCAAGTTAGAAATGTTATTTTGACATTTAGAGCGTAATATGAAGGTTTGGTTGTTCAGATACTGTGCAGATACAATGCATTTGATAAAATCCTCTGTTATATGTTTGAAATTCATTAATTTTTATAATATTTTGAGTAAAAAATCATATATTTCATGCTTTTGTATTCCAGATAGCAGTGACAGTGACACCAGTGACGACCAACCACCGCAAGGCCGAGGGCGAGGACAAACCAGACGTGGTCGTACCCGTGGTCCTAGACCTGGCCAAGCTGCAAATAGACGTGGTCGTGGTAGAATTGCTCAGGCAGCTAGAAGAGGACAGCCAGCTAGAGTAAATAATAGACGACCTGAACCAAGGCAAGAGAACATTGACAATGATGGCGATTTTAATTGGACAATGTATGACCCTATTGACCCCTATACTCCAGATTGGCTGCCTGCATTTACAGCCCCACGCGGTGTTCTTGTAAATACAGAGCAATATAGCCCTGTTGATTACTTTGGGCTTTTCTTCCCAGTAGATGCTATTGATTTGATATGCACGGAAACCAATCGCTATGCAACACAGTTTTTTGACAATCCAAGTGATTTCCCACGCTATTCAAGGTTCAACGAATGGGAAGAAACTACTCCAGATGAAATTAAAGCCTACATAGCTCTACAAATAGCAATGGGGCTTGCTCAGAAAAACTCCTTAGAAGATTATTGGAGTACATATTGGTTGACATATCTTCCATTTACTGACATTATGTCTAGGAACCGATATGAACTATTGACGTCATTTCTTCACTTCGCAAACAATGAGGAGGACAGGCCTGCACGCGGTGACGCACTCTTTGATCCACTCTGGAAAATACGGCCCCTAATGAACATTTGTGAACCTACATATTTGAATGTATATGGACCAAGATGCGAGTTATCAATAGACGAAAGTATAATACGATTCAAGGGACGTGTAAGTTTTCGACAGTACCTACCTGCCAAGCCTTATAAGTGGGGCATAAAGCAGTATGCACTTTGTGAGAGCAAAACTGGATATGCTCTGAAATTTCTGACCTATTGTGGTAAAGGTTCTTTAGAACTTATTCCAGAGTTTTCAATTACAGAGAGTATCTGCCTAAAGTTACTAAATGGTTTTGAGAATAAAGGACACAAAGTTTTTACTGATAATTACTACACGTCACCCAACCTTTACAAGGAATTGCAAAATAACATGATTGGAGCGTGCGGAACTGTAAAAGCTGGACGGAAAAACATGCCTTTAGAATTACATCCAACTAGGTACGCGCTTGCAAAAGGAGACGACCCAGTATTTATGAGGTCAGGCGATTTGGTGACATGTGCCTGGCATGATACAAAGAGAGTACATTTTCTATCGACAATCGACAGTAACAACACCGTTGACAAAAGAATACGCCAAAGAGGTGCAGATGGAGGACACAGAGAGGTTGAAAAACCAGTCATGGCTGAAGTGTATAATCAGTCCATGGGTGGTGTGGATCTACTGGATCAAAAACTTGGAACATTTGCATACCCACACAAAAGCGCAAAATGGTACAATGTTGTGTATCACGGCCTTCGCGAAGTGGCCCTGATAAATGCCTACATTGTGTACTGTGCTGCTACCACTGATGGCAAAGTAATGTCACAGAAAGTGTTCAGGGAAAAAATCATAACTGGATTGTTGGAAGACTGGGTAAATCCATCCGTTCGAAGGGGTCGACCATCGACATCAGAACGACCAGCTCGGCTCATACAGCGCCATTTTGTTTCGCAGTATGAAAACAAAAAGTACCGCCCAGATTGCATTGTTTGCAGTAGCAGAACATTACCTGGATGGCAAAGACACCAAACTAATTACAAATGCAAGCAATGTGACTTGCCCATGTGCCCAATACCGTGTCACGAAATTTACCAAACATACACAAATTTCCGTCAAGAGGCTGCGCGACAAGTTTATAATATACAGTAAATCATAATAAACTGGAACTGTCATAAGTGTATCCATGGATGGAATTCTGATATATAACACTGACATGACCATCACAATTATGTTAAAATGGTATTAAATAATGACAACAGCATTTTTACAAGTTAATATGTGGGATGAAATATTAATTTTATTGTGTATATAGAATATCTGAAATTTTCAATAACAATGGCCATATTTGGCAATGACATTATCACATTTATTGTGTTTTATTGTAAATATATGCATTGTATTTTTTAAGGAATTATATCAGCTATCTACCTTCAAAATTTCAAGGGAATATCTAAAGAAATAAAAATGTTATTAACATTTGAAGTCAATTAGTATATTTTCCAAGAATTTCCAAGAAAATATTTGGCGCTTAGCTAAACATTTCGCTATTTATTTGGCGGCGAAAGGGTTAAAGCAAAGATCCCTGACGTGTCTTATTCTAATTATCAGATTAGTTGATATGATACGAATTTCACCACAACGTATTTGTTCACAAAAGAGCACATGTCAAGATGTTTATTTGTTCACATGTTAATTTGGTAAAATTATATAAGATGACACTTCAACTTTACCATTATCGATTGCCTTGATTGTTCAGTATAAAAAAAAAAACGAGAAAAACAACACCTTTTTTAATAATTTACAATGTAATGTGTCAGAAGAATGGTGGGGCATTTTACTTGTAATAACATAGAAAAACTTCAGTTTTCCTAATACAAAAAAAAAACTTATAATGTAACAGCAACTTGAGTATGTCAAACCTAAAGTATTGAATTTAACATTTTTATGCATTTTATTTTAATTTATTTCATTTCTTTTAAATGCAAACAAAAAATAAATTATTTTACATGCAAACAAAAACTTCCTTGATGCATTTTCCTGAATTTCCTTTACCAGTCTGATGAAAAGTGTACTGTGCTCGGGAAAGTGCTGAAAAAATCATAAAACTTCCTCACATATGAGGGTAAAAACGGAAAAAATGACCAATTTCAACCTGGTTATTGGAAATATTGACAAGATAATAACAACCATCAGGTGCTACTTGAGGCACAAATTCAGCATAATAAGGGAAGGCTTGTCATATAAGTGAGTATAAACTTCTTCAGTTGGTCTTAATTATTTACATAAAGAACACAGTGTTTTGTTACTGTATAACTGCTTTCTTTCAGGCAATTGTTTTAATATTTACAAATTGGCGACCTTGCAAAATTCATATACATGTTGTAAATAAATACTGGCTTATTATATTTTGCAGTATTTGCTTTAAAAATCTTCACCATTTTATATGCATTTCCATCTTACTAAGTATGGAATTATTTTTAAGAAAATTTATACTATGTGCTTGTATTCTAGTCTTTCTACTTAATACATCATAAAATTATTGACTGGATTTTTTTCTTTATTTAGGTTTTCCAATGTTATCCAAAAAGCAAATGGATGTTGGGCTGTCCAGACTAGCACAATAACAATTGTACCACCTGTACATTGTACAGTTCAAACAGCTCCTCATTTACCTGAACTGGTCAAAAAAGAACTATTTCACAGGCATTGTCATCACCAGAAAAGTGCACAATTTGTGCTAAGATTGCCAAAGTATGTGTGATTCATTTTCTTAGAAGACTTTCAGGAAATTTCTTGATAAAAATCTTTGCAGGTTTACTTACTTATCAGAAGTTTCAAAAACTATAAACAAATCATTGCTATCCACTTCATATATTTTTAAACAATATCTTTTTAATTGAATACCATCTAAATTTAAACAAGAGGGCCATGATGGCACTGAAATTGCCCACTTGAATATAGGCCCCTGGACAAAGACCAATTTTAAACCAGGGGCTTTTATTTGAACAAACTTTGGAGACACCCATAAGGAATGTTTCATGATAAATATCTAAGCTCTTTGGGGATTTTACAAGAAGATTTTTTAAGTTTTACTACATACATACAGGGAAATACCCCCCCCCCCCACACACACACACACCAAGGGGCCAATTTTGACCCCAGGGCTTTAATTTGAATAAACTTGGTAGACACTCTTTAGAAGATATTTCATGGTTAGTATCTAAACTCTAGCTCTTTGTGGTTTTTTTAAAGAAAAATTTTTTACAGGAAGATTTAGTTAGTCTAAAAGTTATGGTCCAGACAAAAGAAAGCAATGGAAAAGTAACAAAGGGCAAGAACTCTGAAATTACTTTAGATAAAGTTATGATGACTGTGCACTGCACTTCCCCTTATTGTGCTTGACCATTGTATGAAGTTGTTTTGAATTCCAAAAGTAGTTTTCAAGTTATGCTCCGGACAAGGACAAGAAACAAAGGGCAATAACTGTAATCAGTGAAGATAGAGTTATGATTCTTGTGCACTGCACTTCCTCTCAATATGCTTGACCATTGTATGGAGTTGTATTGAATTCCAACCATTAGTCTTCAAGTTATGCTCTAGACAAGGAAAATGCAACGGATGTCTGGACCGACCGACCAACCACCGGTTACTCCTATATACCCCCCCCCCCCCAAACTTCGTTTCGGGGGTTATAACTATTAATTTGGTTTTAATTCTGTACGTTTAAACAAGTTACAAAAGAAATATGGGGTGTATATATTTATGTATATTTCACCGCATCATTATTATGTTTACTGTTGTTGATATTATCTTTTTTTCACTCTGTCGATGTTTAGATTTAGAGACAGAAATTAAGAATAAAGAAACAATCAACTCAAGCCACAGGGCACACATTGAAGACAACACAAATTATAGTTACAATAGCAAAAGTTATTATAATATTCTTTAATTCATTTGTAAAAATAAGAAATGTCAAACCATAGTTGATAATTGTTTACTTCATCATTATTGAATAAAACAATTAATTTGCTTTTGATTACAACGTTTAAACATTTAATATTCATATAAGTTGCAAAACAAATATGGCGCCATCCTTAAAAAAATGTTTGTTTGCAGTAAGGCGACCGACTCACAAAATTTGCCCATACTCAAAATTTTTTTTCATGGTCTGGATAAAAAAAAATATTTTTGGAATCAGAAAATTATGTATTGTGCTTTGTTTTCTTCCTTTTAAAGGTTAATGGAAGAAATAAAAGAAGGTCTTATTAAATTAGAATTCAGTTATCAATTTATAAATTGTTACCAGATTATCAAAGCATATATTGTCCAGCATTTTGAAATTCCATGTTTATTTGGGAGTACAGTTCAATAAAAAAACAAAAAATTGACCTACCTACCCTTGAAAATTCTGGGTCGGGTTACTGCAAACAAAACATTTTTTTAAGGATGGCCTGGGGCGTATATATTTGTGTATATTTCACCACATAATTATCATGTGTACTGTTGTTGATATTACAGAAAAACTTCTATGAGTCGAACTTCAATTGGTCGATTTTCTTGATGTGTCGAAGAAAAATTAAAGTTCTGACTTTTCCACCTATATATTCCTTATAAAAACCTATTTATGAGGGGAGACGCTCAAAATCCCCTTGATCATAATCCCCTTGGTTGATAAACGACATAGTGATCGAAATCCCCTCAACAGAAATGACAGGGTTATCATAATCCCCTTGGCAAAAATAAAGGGGTGGTCATAATCCCCTCAGTGGGTAGTCAAAATCCCCTCAAATAATGTGAAATGGTTGGGAAATTTCTTTTCTTATTTTTCTTTTTAGTTCAATGAATTTAAGAACCAACTGCTTCAAGAATTGCTGAAAAAAAAGAGAAAAGCATACAAACAATTAAAAGGTGTATGTTTGTCACAGCCAGTTAATAATGACACCCTTTATTGATGTTATTATTGCTGAGAAAATTGTAAAATACAAACAAATAAATGATAGTTGATTATAATTAATCATTGCAATTATAGTTATATGTAACAAACAATCAATTAATCTTTGCAATGATAAACACCTTTAAAGGCAAATTTGTTGCACACTAGCTTTAGATCTTTCCAGATAATAACTATTAATTGCAGTTTGCTATCTAAAATTACTTCATCTTTGTTTTACTTAACTGCAAACTGTTATTTTGTTGGGTATATAATATGATGGCTCTCTGCAATAGACATGAATACCCAAAATGGAATTCATTACAAGTAACAAAGGTTCTCGTAAGCTTCTGTATGAAGGTTATGCCTACACAAAGAAAAATGAAAATAAGTCCTCAATGCGGTGGGAATGCTCTCAGAGAATTGGTCTGAACTGTAAAGGTGCACTGACTACTGATTTACATGTAAGTATATAATCAATAATAATCATTTGGTACATTGAACATGAGATAAACTAATATGTATCAATTGTGCAAGTTATGCCTGAATTAATTTTTTTCGTCTTATTATTTTTTTTAACCTTTGTATAGCACTCTTTTTAAGTAAAGCAAAAGAGATTACATGAAAATATTAATGGAGACATAAAGCACATCATAATAAAAGTATGCATAAATCTGAATTATAATAGGTAAATATTAATTTCAGCATGCTAACTTTATGTCCTATTTCTAGGTGTCTTCTGTCAAATCTGAAACCGCGCACAGTCATGCTCCTGACAAATTTGCAATGCAGGCACTTAAAGTCCGCAGTGAGATAAAAGCATCTGCTGAAGCTAACCGTGGTAAACCCGGACAGATAGTAACAGATAAATTATCGCTGCAGCCTACAGAGGTGAGTTAATAAATAAGACTCATAGAAATCCTGTAAATTTCAAAATTGTTCTTTTTTAAATTTCAACATGCTCTGTAAAATGCACATGGGTCTTCTCATGAAATAAACCACTTTGGAAATTTATATTAGTAAGATTACTTTTAATGATGATATTAATGATATAATGACAATACTGATGAATATGTTAAATGCCCAGAATGTACAGACACAAAGGCCAGACAAACAACTGTGAAATAGGAAAATGAAATAATTGAATTGAGTGCATGAAAACTGTTGCTTTATTTTTACTTCAGGTTATTGCTGCCAGTTCCGTAAAGAGTTTGAAGCAAACTGTGAGACGCGCCAAGAGAGGAACAGCACCTAAGAACCCATCAACAATCAGAGATGTTCCTGTTCCTTTCCCTATTGAGTTTGCAAGTAATGTCATCTACGACAACGAGTCTCCAGACAACCGTATCCTCATCTTCGCCACTAATGACGGTCTTCGCCTCCTAGATAGTGCATCCAGATGGTTTATGGATGGCACCCACTCTACAGCGCCCTCTCAGTTCCAACAACTTTTTGTCATCCGTGTACCTTTAGGTGAATCCTGTGTCTCAGTTGTCTACGCACTCCTTCCGTCAAAGCAACAGCTGGTGTATGAAGAAATGCTGACTGCCCTACTAGATGCCTGTCTGCAGCGAGGTATCCGACCTAACCCATCTAGCAAATTATGGCAGACTATGAGATAGCTATACACAATGCTGTGAGAACTGTATTGGCCAGCAACATTCATATCCAGGTAATAAAAAATAAGATCATTTGAAATAATTTATTTCAATGTTAAATGAAATAAAACAAGCATTTGATAGTATTGCGGGCAATACAGTAGTCCCCTACCGGTCCCTCAAAAAGTTCTTTAATTGTCATACACTCCTGTGTATTGCCATTTATAATGAATTTGAGGATGAAGTCTGTATTTGAAAATATCGACCACAAAACATAATAAAATAAGTTTGTCTATATCACAGTAATGTGTTAAGTTTCCATGCTTAGTAAGGAAATTATGTTTATACAACCTTGTCATATTATTACGATGTGGGATTTTAAAGTAAATCCTATAAGGAATGAAGAAGTTGAAGTGAAAATACCAGTTTCTCGAAAAAAATCTAAGTTCAAGGGGGACATAATTCTGGAAATAGTCTTGCTAGAGTATTTAACCTTCTCAAAAATGTCGAGTGATAATAAGAAACATATATATGAAGTTTGAAGTAGATACATTAGGAAATAAAGAAGTTATTTAAAGAAGACAACATTTTTTCCCCTAAAAAATCTAAGTTCAAGGGAGGTAATATTGATATTTTTTGTGCTAGAGTTATAAACCTTGTCACATATGATGTGGTTGATGACCAGAAACTTATATTTAAAGTTTGAAGTAAACAACTTAAGAAATAAAGAACATATAGTGAAAAAGCTGAAAAATTTAAATCAGAAATCTTGAAATTCAGGCTATTTGTTGCCATAGCAACCAGAATTTTCAACATAGGAAGAAAAGAAAAAGATGTGCATAATCTCCAGACTGCCATCTACCCATATTTCAAGTTTCATAAAAATATTTTCAGTACTTTTTGAGTTATCACTGGATCCAGTTTATGTGTTAAATTTGCCATATTTTCAGACTATTTGTTGCCATAGCAACCAGAATTTTCAACATAGGAAGAAAAAAAAAAGACGTGCATAATCTCCATACTGCCATCTATCCATATATCAAGTTTCATAAAAATATTTTCAGTACTTTTTGCGTTATCGCGGGATCCAGTTTTGTGGACGGACGGACTGACGGACTGACAGACTGACAGACAGACAGACGGACAGACAGACAGACGGACGGAGGGTAAACCTAAAGTCCCCTCCGGTTAAACCGGTAGGGGACTAAAAAGAAGTTATTAAAAAAAACAATGTTTTTTCCATGAAAATTTCAAGTTCAAGGGAGGTAATTCTGATAAATTTTGTGCTAGAGTTGTAAACCTTGTCACATATGATGTGGTTGATGACAAGCAACTTATATTTAAAGTTTGAAGAAAATACCTTAAGAAATAAAGAACTTATAGTGAAAAAACTTAAAAACTAGAATCAGAAATCTTGAAATTCAGTCTATTTGTTGCCATAGCAACCAGAATTTTCAACATAGGAAGATAAGAAAAGGATGTGAATAATTTCCATACTGCCATCTACCCATATGTCAAGTTTCATAAACATATTTTTCAGTACTTTTTGTGTTATCACTGGATCCAGGTTATGTGTAAAATTTGCCATATTTTCAGTCTATTTGTTGCCATAGCAACCAGAATTTTCAACATAGGAAGAAAAGAAAAAGACGTGCATAATCTCCATACTGCCATCTATCCATATATCAAGTTTCATAAAAATATTTTCAGTACTTTTTGCGTTATCGCGGGATCCAGTTTATGTGTAAAATTTGTCATATTTTCAGTCTATTTGTTGCCATAGCAACCAGAATTTTCAACATAGGAAGAAAAGAAAAAGACGTGCATAATCTCCATACTGCCATCTATCCATATATCAAGTTTCATTAAAATATTTTCAGTACTTTTTGCGTTATTGCGGGATCCAGTTTTGTGGACGGACGGACTGACGGACGGACAGACGGACTGACGGACGGACGGACGGACAGACGGACAGACGGACGGAGGGTAAACCTAAAGTCCCCTCCGGTAAACCGGTAGGGGACTAATAAAAAAAATTAAATGAAACCATTTATTTCATTGCTAAATGAAAAAAAATAAAAAAAAATAAATGAAACCATTTATTTCATTAAATAAAAAAAATAAATGAAACCAAATTTCTGTTAATAATTATACAAGCCTTTAACATGTCTGACGTTGAATCAGGATAAAAGTTGCTGAAAATGAATCATTCAATACAACACATGATCAGGCTTTGTATGTATATATATATCATTCATATTCTTGTTTAATTGTATTATAATATGTAAAAGACTATTTAAACAGCATATTAAAACCTTTTTTTTTACACCATCTAGGGATGTTTTTACCATCTAACCCAAGCTACTTGGAGAAGAGTGCAAGCAGAGGGTCTTCAGTCTGACTACAACAATGATGATGATGTGAAATCCTTCTGCGGAAAGCTTGACGGTCTGGCGTTTCTTCCATGCACCAATGGCAAGAAGGCTTGACGTTACTACGTGAACAGGCCCCAGATCATCTACAGTGTCTGGTTGAGTATTTTGACTCCAACTATGTAAATGGATCCTTTCGCGCAGTCATCACTGCTAATGGAAATATGAGGTTCCGACGCTCCTCTCCAAGATTTCCTCCACCAATTTGGAATGTGCACAGTGCCACAATGACTGACCAGGATAGAACAAATAACCAGTGTGAATCTTGGAACAATGGGTTTAAGCACCTTGTTGGACATTCAAATCCTTCACTTTGGACAGTTGTGCAATGTGTTGAAAAGGATGCAAAAATGGTGGCAGCTGAAATTCTGAGATGTAATCGTGGTGAACTTCTACAGAAACGAGTGAAGAAGGCCACTAAAGCTCACCAGCAGAGACTGAAAGTTTTGTGCTCACAGTACGCAAGTGGCATTAAATCCCTTGAAGACTTCTTGGGTGCTCTGGGACAGATTATCAGAATAAAATAATGTCGGTGCTATGTAAATTCTGTGAATGTGCTAACATATGTAAAATGTGCTGTCAGAAAATAAATAAGAGTGAAATATTATGTCTGGTTTTATATTTTATATTAACATGAAAATGACAACATTGGAGTATTTAAAAATAACCTGTATTATATTGCTAAAGTATACTCCATACTCTTTCCTCTACTCAATGTAACTGCTGTTTGCAACATTTCTTTATGTAACACAATAGTTTAGCTGGAGTGACAAAAGATCAAAGGAAAAAGAATATTGAGTAAAGGGGGTTGTTTTTCACAAGTTGAGGGGATTTTGACCACCCCATCATTTTTGCCAAGGGGATTTTGACTATCCATCAAGGGGATTATGAACACCCGGTCATTTCTGTTGAGGGGATTTCGATCACTATGTCATTTTTCAACCAAGGGGATTATGATCAAGGGGATTTTGATATACATTCATTTATGAGTTGAGATTTTATGTGTCAAAGTTTTTTCGTAGTCCATGTTAAGTAAATCTAGTGCAATTTACCACAAATAAGTCGAAGTTGTTTGATTATTTTGACACTGTCAATCTCGAGACATTTTTCATACCTTATCTGGCTGCAAAGACGATTTCCAATCAACTTGTGTGACAGGTGTAAAATTACACAGCCGTGTGTTTAAACAACCTTTGTTTGCGATAAAATGTGTGATAAAATGCCATTAAGTGTTACAATTTTAATTGCTGTAGTGGTATTTGAAAGTTAACAGTAAGAACTACTGACAGCTTCCATTTAAGAACGTAAAAGTTCTGTCAAATTTCCGTCAATTTTATGAAATGTGATTTTTTGGGGTTAAATTAGCTCACCTGAAAAGTACATGCATTTATTTGAATAAAGTACATCAATAAAATCAATAAAAATCAATTTCCTGATCTAATTTTATATTGATATGAACAAAATAACTAAAAATTAAATTGGAAATCATCATCTTTTTGACGGACGGAACTCCCAGCTTCTTCACCAGGTCGGATATATACTCGCATTTTTGAATAATATTGGAAGTTTTATTTCAACAAAGACAATTTATTGTTGGGGTAAGTATTGCCTTGCATTCTATTTGATTAGTTTATGTGTTTTTCAATTATTTTGCAAAATAAAGGAATTAGAATAATGTAGATGATGAACAATGAACGTCTGTCAAAAAAGCAACGTTCGCAAAAAACTGTCCATCGACTCGGTTATTGTGTGATTATGTATTGGGTGGGGATTCAAAGTTAGTGTTAAACTTGGTACTTTCTGGTTTTACAGGAAGTTTCTTAAGTTTTGAAGCCATAACCAGAAATTTTATTGAAAAAAGGTTGCGATCATAATTTCTGTCAATTTTAGTGAATGACGTTCGCACATTTGTTCCTCAGTTTTATAGCTGTTACTTCCCTTTTTTGCATAGTGACAAGAAACTACGATTAAATCCGTAAGTATCCGAATGCAAAAACATGGTCAAATTATGACGCTCGATTACATGATCCAAATTATTTTGAGTAAGTTTGTGTCTGTCAAGTGTTTTAAATGTTGACGATAGCAACAATAAGTACATATAGATATTTGTATATATTTTAAAGAAGAGAAAACATATTAAAGTCGAGTTGTATGCAGGAAATAGACGAATACATGGACTTCTACTACTTCCAATGACTGTTTACGCTTAAAGCTGTTGCGAATGTCATTTTTTGACGGACATTCTTGTTGCATACGTCATTTATTGACATACACAATTGTTGCTATCGTCATTCTTTGACGGCTGTTAATGATGCGATCGTCATATTTTGACAACCGTCAATGTTTTGACATAATAAATCTACATGTAAACATTGTAGTGTCAGTAATACCAGGGAGTGAGAGATGGATTGAGTTGAAATACAGTCAATTCGGCCCCAAGTCAGATCGGCCCCAAGTCAAATCGGCCCCAAGCGAAATCGGCCTCAAGTCAGATTGATCAGCCCCATTTTTTTTTTCTTTGTTCATTTTCTTATTTAAATGTTGTTAAAAAAATTGTGTGGATTGGAATATCAAATGACTAACAATAGATTACATTGAAAACCAGAACAAAAGATAATAATCAATATAATTTATTGTCTGAGTATAACATTTATCTTCACTGTACTAAACTATTTATTGTCTATAAACATATGAACAGTATGTAAATGTCACTTTTCATGTAATTGTCACTTCTCAAGCAAAGGTAAACTATGAATAACTTGCCTTATTAGCTCGACTATTCGATAAGAATAAGTAGAGCTATTGTAGTAACCCGAGCGTCCGCGTCAGCGTAACCACTTATGTTAAAGTTTTTGTAATAGTTCAAATATTTTCAAAGTCCATTGACATATGGCTTTGAAACTTTGCACACTTGTTCACCATCATGACCCCAACCTGTAGACAGGAGGAGGTAACTCTATCAAGCATTTTGACAGAAGTATGCCCCTTTTTGGACTTAGAATTTACGTTAAAGTTTTTGTAATAGTTCAAATATTTTCAAAGTCCATTGACATATGGCTTTGAAACTTTGCACACATGTTCACCATCATAACCCCAACCTGTAGACAAGAGGAGGTAACTCTATCAAGCATTTTGACAGAATTATGCCCCTTTTTGGACTTAGAATTTACGTTAAAGTTTTTGTAATAGTTCAAATATTTTCAAAAGCCATTGACATATTGCTTTGAAACTTTGCACACTTGTTCACCATCATGACCCCAACCTGTAAACAGGAGGAGGTAACTATTTCAAGCATTTTTTTTTTTACTATCAAGCACTAAGAAAAGTCAAGCGTTGCTGTCCTACGACAGCTCTTGTTACAAATAAATGCTTTCTGTTTTCTCATTTATATGTCTTTAAAAGTTATGTTTCTACAAGTTTGCAGAAAGGTAGACTTGTGGCGATGATTTGGCGGACAGTTTGATTGAAGACATTGGTATACCTGCTTCCAAGCAAAGGTAAATTATGAATAACTTGCCTCATTACAATTAATGCTATTTTCTCATTTATGCTTTTAAAAGTTATGTTTCTACAAGTTTGCAGAAAGGTATACCTAAAAATTCCCAATAATGATATATGTAGGAATACTTAAGATTTACTTAATATGTAAAAATCTTGTTTGTTTGCAGTGACTGGAAGCATTTGAAGACTTGTGGCGATGATTTGGCGGACAGTTTGATTGAAGACATTGGTATACCTGCTTCCAAGCAAAGGTAAACTATGAATAGTAAATGAAACAATTTCTTTTTGTATACCCACCCTATAAAATGCAGGGCATGATGGCGCAGTGGTAAGTGCACTTGTTTTTCATTTTGAGAGTTGTAGCTTTGATTCTCGGTCAGGCCATTTCTCTCTGACCAATTGATAAAAGTCCTTGTGTCTTAAGTCTTTCGTCTCACACCTCTGTTTCAAGTGAGGCAGAAAAAGAGGTAATATGTCTAAAATGATATGGAGAGAGTGTGTGCACAAGTTAATTTTTGAATCAGTTTTTAAAGGCATGGTTATCAGTTTTTAAAGGTCTACCTTTCAACAACTTTTCATGCAGGTACCCTGTAGGCACTAACCTTCTCATCAGAAATGGATCAGAAAGTTTTAATGCTGTTGTAAGTAGTAATGTTTTAACAGTTTGGTTAAATTCAGTACACAAAAAAAGTCTAGCAAATTCGTCAGTTGTCTGTCAAAAGGTGCAATCAGTATTTTTTTTCAATTTTTCGGGAAATGGACAAAGATTTATCAGCGTTTATAAGAAGCTTAAGCAATAAGTACTGGCTTTGTTCTTCAATGCATTACTTTTGTTTGGCCTGTATTGTGCTGTTCCATTTTTGTTACTTTGGAAGTTATGTTTTTTAAAAAAAATTGTAACTTGTGTGTTAAAAAGTTGTTTTTTTGTCTTCATCACATTTAATATATGTTAAAACCCAATATAAGGCACTCTTGCTGACAAGATTTGCAGTCAGATATCAATCTCCGGAGTTCATGAGTTTAAGCCTTTGCCATACAACATGAGTTGAATTCCCAGCCATATAACAGTATTTCAAGCCCCAGCCATATAGCATTTATTTAATAAAGATTAATTATTAAATAATTTTTTATAATACTGCATGTTTGTAACGTCGCTTTCATTGGATAATCTTGACGTTTATATAGTGTTTTATACACGTGACACAGCTATTGTTGATTAATAAAGAAATCTTGCTTTATTCCTCTAAAAAATGATCCTTGCTAGCGATTTGGGTTATATTTTTTACAAACAGCCATTTATATAGGGCCATATAACCTGTCAAAAATCTTTATAACTAATAATATAGCCTTACTATTCAGGTAGAGCAGTTGTCTGTTTATGTGCAAATATTATTTGTTTATACATGTAGTGTATATGCATTTTTAAGTTTTTTTTTTCCGGTTAATATTGGTGATGATATGAAGCAACATTTGAACGTCAATCAGAGCTTGACTTCATTACCAGTTGTGAATACTTGGTAAATACATTTGATTGGTTCATTGAGTCCAGTTTGACCTCTTTGATAGATACTGGTAATTGATTAAATGTTATTGGTGCAACAAGTCATTGATTGTACATCATTTGCAGGTTGTTCAAACCCATGAACTGCACAGAGAGGAGAAAGTCTATGGATTGTGGGTCCAGTTCTATAAGAAAGGAAAGCGACAATTATGGACATTGGAGGAGAAATCTTTCTTTGTTTGTTGTTAAACAACTTGCTGAACCTTTACTGTCTATGCATGGATCTAGATTATACTACAAATTTCAAGTGTTTGGTGTACAGTTACACTTAATAGCCCATCAGAAAAGGCCGACATGGTGACTGGTGCTTTTACATCCAATTTGGTGCAGACTGTTTTCATACTTTCTTACAAAAAACTGTTAGAAATATAATAGGGCTGGAACGAATAAGGAATTCGATGTTCGAATATTCGTTTTTCCATATTCGAATATATTCGAATATTCGTTTTTACAACATTTGGTCCAATATTTCTCTTTGACGTATACGTATCCAAAATTGATTGCGTCGAATACTATACTACTTTAAAATGCTTGGAATAATCGGCAATTAAAAAGACCTTTATTGCTATGTCGAAGTTTTTTTAATTTATATATTGTAAATCGAGATATATGTTTACTTTTGAAATAAATTCATAATTTGATTGCCTTTTGTTCAGTAAACCCGACCGCTGTCTTATTAACGGGAGGTAACTCACGTGTCTTGACTGACAGTAATATGAATCATCTTAGCCATTTATCCCCAAAGACACATAATGATATTGAAACTTAACTTGTATTAAATATTTTTTATTTACAATTTTAGATAAAGTTAAAATATTCTTAAGATAAGTTTAGCTATAACAAGGTAAATATCACATGGAGTCTTATGTCTACGGAATAAATATATTCTGACAGAATTTAGACACTTCATATGCTTTCATAACGCGCCGAATAATGGTGCCAATTTATTCTTATTCACAAAATTTAAGACAATTATTGATTAATCGGAAAGATTTTAACACAGAAAACAATAAAAAAGATAATTAAAATCGGAAAAATTTACATTATAAACTGTTCAACAGGTAAATTGCAAACTGTGAAACGGGTGCCCTTTTGATCAACTATACCCCAAAGTTTCAAAATTGGCGATAATTGTTGACACGCGTCATACAAACATTTGAACACCTGGTGAAAGAAAGGGCAAAGGTTAATTTACGATCTGAATTGAAATTTGAAAGTAATGACAAAAAATGAAACATTTCTCCTTTTTTTTTCGAATATTCGTATTTGTTTTTCAATGTTCGAATATTCGTTAGTGTTTCGAATATTCGAAAATAATTCCCGGCCCTAAAATATAATATATCTTTTGAAAAGTTTCAATAGCCATTGACAGATTATTTTGTAAAATACGTTCTTTAGTGCCTAGAAAAGTTGATGGCCAGTGTTTTGACAGCTAATTTCAGATAATGTCCAAGTAAATTTACATAATTTACTCGTTTGCTCTTTGAAAACTTTTACTTGTTGTCATTTGTTTCCTTGTATCCATTGCGAAAAAGTACTTTAGAAATTGTGAAAGAACATTTGTTCCGTCCAAAAATGATGGTAGCAACAATTTGTTCCGTCCAAAAATGATTCTAGCAACAATTTGTTCCGTCAAAAAATGACGTTTAGCAACATCATCAAAAATAAATAAATCTGTATCTGGCCTGTTCTCTGCAGAGATAGTACTTCCTTTACATACAGTTTTTAATCTTTTATTACTTAGAATAAAATGTTGCTAATTATAATAAAGAGAATGCTTAATTTTTCCAATTTCTGAATGTTGTGAACGTAAAAATATCCGTCAAATATTCTGTCACATAATGACGTTAGCAACATGAAATTTAAAACATGATTAAAACTCAAAATACATCTGCTATAATTTTTATTTTCATGTTTTTGACCTAATATAATAGCAATCTTATCATATATATTAAAAAAACTGCAATTATTTTATATGTACAAAAAAATATCCTTTGGAGCTATTTTGACGGAAATTTTATGTTCTTAAATGGAAGCTGTCTACTTTCATTTGATTACATCCTTAACCAGGTGTTGCGTGAGAATAACACGCAAAATATATACTATAAGTTGGTAAAGTTATCGCCCTTTGGTATTGTTACGCCTTTTGTAACTCTATTGTATACGTCAATGGGTTGTCCAAATAATTACCCATGAAAAACGTTATTTAACATGCTATATTTATCATTGTAAAATGTAATTATCAGATTAATGATGGAAAAAACATGAAATAGGTTTCGTTATAGACTAGTCACGTGTCGAAATTTTTGGAATTGAGAGCGATTCATGAGTCGAAGTCCCGATGTGTCGAAGTTTTTATGCAAGTCCCTTTAACTTCGACTTACCGAAGTTCTATTCTTTTTTGTCAAGCCATACTCCAGTATTAAAGTTACTTATGCTATAGTAAATGCTACTGCTGGGAAAGACAGCCATCAGAATTGGTCTGTTTTAGTATCTGGTCATATAGCAAAATCTCTATCAGATGTTGACAAGTGGTAAGGTAACTGCTTACCTGTCAATGTTACTCATTCCTATAACAATATGTAAATTGGAATCCCTCCTGTAAAATTTATTTGTCTTTAAAAAGAGCATGTTGAATATAGTCTTAATAATTTTAACTTCCTAGAAGATTAGAATATTTACCCTCAAACGTTGGATAGAGACAGTTTCCTGGTGAGTTTTTTTTCTGATTTTCTTTTTTTAAGAAATGGAAAATCCTCAAATTGTAGACTCTGTGTTGGAGAAGTTGTGGCGAATAATTCCCCTTTGTGAAATGCAAAATCACCAGAGTATTCTTCATATAATTTATGTCATGAAGTTGAAACAGTAATTAGTATTTTAAGAAATTTCATTAAGGACAAGAATCCAGAAAGTGCAACAAATATTTTGGAGTCTGCATTGGATTTATTACACCATGTATCATATACAACTGTGGACATTACTGAAGGAAATTGTGAAGGTCTTAGAACAGGTATGAAAATTCCTGTTGAGATGCTTGAGAATTATGTTTATTTGTTTGTTTTGGGTTTTACGTCACATCGACACAGTATAGGTCATATCACGAGGTTCCAGCTTTACTGGTAGAGGAAGACCTCAGGTGCCCTTCCGTGCATTATTTAAGGCACGAATAGGCACCTGAGTAGAACCACAGACGTTCCGTAAGCTAGCTGGATAGCTTCCTCACATGAAAGAATCCAAAGTCCCTGTCGGGATTCGAACGCACAATGTAACTTGAATGTAATTGCTTACGTAATTTGGCGTGTTTTTTTTGTTTGTTTGTTTTTTTTTTTACATTTTTACGCATTTCGACCTTCAATGCATTGATGAAATATGATCAAAGCCTAATTATAATTCTGCGAGAATGGCTTGACCCCATTTAACAGACATTCTTTCATAATACACCAATAAACACTTTCCCCAACTAGCAGACGACAGGCTATTCTTGAGTAAAGATAACCGGTTGCGTATCTCACTGTATAAATCGTATGTAAAATAGTCTGGCATATGGTAGGTTTAACAGTTAATTAAAATACTTACCGCGACATTTCTTTGACAAGTCCTTATTAGCAGCGTATTTCAAGACAACACAGATTTTTTTTGGGGGCAGATTTTTTTTTTTTTTTTTCATTTTCCCAAAATACAGAGTCGGCGGGTCAGTAAACCGAAATATCAAAAAATAATGGCCAAATAAATGTTATCATCTGTAACTTCCCAAATATAGGATATAGACCAGTAAGAAGCCATTTGTGTGTCAAAGGATTTACTTTTCAGAAGATGCGTGTACTTGAAGCAATGCGAAATGCAAAAATGGCACTAAAACCAATTTATAGAAGAACGTATTGTGGGCAAGGGCCTTTGTCTCTCTAACATATTGATGGAAACCACAAACTTATAAGGTAAATATTTTATTTAAAAATATGGTAAACAAAAATCTACAATGCACTGAAGGTATTGATGCAGCATTTCTTGAGAGACTCTTCCAAACATTTAATTGCCACCTTTAAACAGGTATTATCGGTCATTTTACGTTTACTAGGAATTTTCCTTACAATTACACTTTTCGAAAACTGACAAGTTTTTTTATAACATTTCCAATCTTTGAGTTACACAAGGTTATACTAATTGGTCAAAGGTTTTTTTTTCATTTGATGCATTTGGGCTTAAAGGTAGACCACTCCTAATGGGCACTATAAGGAACTGTAAAATTGACAACATAGCACAGTTATATGCCTTAAATGTCACCTGTATGCAAAATTTAAACAAAATTTACCGTGTGTTTTATGAGTTATGGACATTCTTCTGCACTAAAACTGCGCCATTAGAAGGGCTTTTTTCAGAAATGAGGAAACTAAATGATCTATTATATCATCATTATGAAAAATGTTTTCCTATTGCTTATTGTTAAGAAACAAATAATGATATTTACTATTTAGGTAACAAATTATACAAACAAAATGATTGTTTTTAAACAAATTGTTTTTAATAAACTAGAACTATCACTAAATGTGAATAATACCCCCGCAAGACTGCTCTGGAAATGAGGAAGTTACAAGTAACGGAATACTTAAGAAAAATCCAACTTGCCGTCCTAGGTTAACCTTGTAGGGACAGATGGATGGACGGAGGGTTCAATCACTATATGCCCAGGGGCATAAAAAATGTCTGTTTAAGTGCAGTCAAGACTCATTTTGGAAAGTGCTGCCATGCCTGTTGAGAATAAGCTAAAAAAAACTTGGGAGACATACTTAGATGATTGTGCCGTCACTTAAAATTAACTATTTATATATATATATATCTATAGGCTTTTATTGACTATCACATTAATATGGAGTTTTGAAACTATAAGATAAAACTTAGGTCATTAAAAATTGACGTTGTTAATGTTTAGTTATTCCAAGTTATTTATGCTGTGGAATATTTATTGCACCTGACTGACACATTGAACAAGCATTATATCAGAAAAGGCGCGTACCACTTCTTTAATAGGGCCCAACATCACACAGATATTAACAAATTGAGCACATGTTCCACTTGCAGTGCTTTCTTTCTTTATACATTTTGATGCATTCTCAATTATTTTGATGCATTCTCAATTCCTATCAATTTGTTAGCCTTTTTTTTTCATTGCAGGAAAAAGAGAACAATGGAACCAAGTGGAAACTCTAGAAATGAAAACACTCTTCAAAGACAATTTGGAAACATTGACAACTCCAGGAATGAAAGAATGCTCAAGATCAAGAAAAACAATGGATAATTGTGGTAAAGACCTTGGGAGACCAT